ATTCGAATATCAAAAGTCACTTTCTTTGCCCTAGCCCAAACTCTCCCCTCCAAAACTCAAACAGCGCGTTTGTTTGACGGCAGAGCTGTCAAATGAACCTGCGATTGTTGAATTTTTGAGATTTCAAGTAAGTTTTCTTGCTACTTTTCCTTCTCATTCTCAATTCATACAACACAAAGTCTGAGTCATACTACAACTTCTCGCGCATATGTGCGAAGAACGTTCAATTACTGAAGTGGTAGGAAGCTGACGTAAACTTCTTATAGTCTCCTCTCAACCAATCCTGAGAGGTCAAACCATCCCTAAATGCCCATCTACAACAGTCTATATTCGAATCTTGCACGTCAAGGTTTTGCAAAATCAGTTACTCACGGTTACGCTCAATCAGTCGTTGCCGCAACTCACCCTCAAGCTTTAGCAAACCAGAACCGATCCGGTCGAGGATTACAACGTCGAACTAGCAAGCTTGGCCACCTACCAACTTATACCTTTCAAAATGCTTTTCATACAAGCTCCAATTCGACTGGTACGACCGTCGTGCAGGATAGACCAGAAGGATTAGAAATATTATCGGATGCCTGGAAGGCAAACGAATTAGCGAAGGAGGAGAAGAAAGCCCAATTTCCAAAATGCATCGAATGGAAACCAGCTTCTATTCAGGTAGATGGAGAGGGAAAGAGCAATGTTGTTGCCAGTGATGCGACGAAGGATACCCCTAAGCAAGTCGAGAGATCGTATAGTACTAGTGCGGTAGATGATATCAAGCAAGTTCATTTTGAGGCCGAGGAAGAAGCTGCCTTGGCAAAGATTGATGCGGCGATTGAAAAGGAAATTCAATCGAGAGAGGATCAAGCTGCATTCGAGGCGGAATTGAGTGTTGTTGCAGCACGTGTACCGACACCTCCTATTGCGCCAGTTCAATCACCTGCTCTCTCAGTCGAGACGGGCTTCGAGAAATCGGAACGTTCGCGATCGCCTGTTAGCTCTGCTACATCAGCCACCTCAACTTCCGACCTACAATCATTGAGCTATGCCGAACATCTCACCAAACTTGCGGAAGGCGGCAGACATGCTGAAATTCCCGCAGTATTTGAGGCCATGCTTGTTGGTGGTATCAAACCAACGGCAACTGCATACAACGCTCTTCTTGATGCTGCTATTCATCTACCTGCTGATCAGATGCAAGTCGTTCCAAAAGCACTCGACGTTTATTCTGACATGCTTAGACGAAAGGTCTCGCCAGACACTGCGACATACAACACACTTATCAAATTGATTGCTTCTCGATCGATCACTGTAACTTCATTGAAACAGACATTGGAAGAGAAACGCGTTAGATTTGGTGGAATGGAAGAACCGGGCAAGTTTATGTTTGCTTCCAATGAATTGGAGTTTGCTATCCTTGCCGAAGATGACAGGTTGGATCTTGCCGTTAGGTTGTTTGATGCATCAATCTCGTACCACACGGATCGTTCATTCCCAGCAGAGACTTATCATCAGCTCATTTCTGCCTGCGCTGATGCTGGCCGTGTCCCAGATATGGTACGATTGTATGAACATATGGAGACGAGCAAGGTCGTACCATTGGCTGCTACTTTCCCACACATGATCAAGGGGTTTACCAAATCAGGTGATTTAAGTAGTGCTGTCGAATGTTACAATGAGTACAAAGAGTTGGCCGTCGCAGATGATAGCGGCAAACTTCAATTGTCCGATCGTCAAGACGCACAGATCTACGCCTCTGTTGTTAAAGCTTACGTCACTTCCGATAAAATGGAAGGTGCCATGAAATTTTACAACAGAATTGTTGAAGGATACGGAGAAAATGTTGAGACCTTCAGAGATGTACTCATTGGTGAAGGTTTTGTCCAGGGTCTTCTTGAACGCAATATGTTGACTGATGCTCTTAGCTGGGCTGAAGGTCTTCAACCCACGACCAAGTCCATGGTAATGAGCACAATCTCAATGCATGCTGCAGACAAAGGAGAAAAATCTGTTGCTGTCGCTGCTTTCTCTCACGTCAATCCCGATCCAAGTATTGCTAAGCCAACTATGGCATTGTTGGCTTTGAGTGTTCGCAGTGGTGATGTCGCTGCAGCTCAAAGATACTGGGGTATTCTCACTGCCGCGGAAATGCCTGTGTCATCCGCCTTCATCGAACCAACTGCCATGTTCGCTGTGGCTATGATTGGCTCCGGACAGGTTCTCGAGGGTCTCACACAATCCGAACAAATGTTTTCAAGAATCAGAGAATCTGCTATCGATGTAAATTCTCACCTGGCTGATGAGATTGAAGAAGGTGTTGACTTCATTGCCCGATTCATGAAGTCACATGGTATTGTCGATCCCCGCGACGCAGCAGTGGCCGAAGCTATGTATCAACAAAGCTTTCAACCTGCTGTATATGTTGCACCACCTACATTTGAGGATACTTTTGATCCATATGCCGCTTCCACCGACTTCAAAGGCTCAGCTCTTATCGCTGATGAACTCGAGAGAGGTGCTGGTCGTGGTAAAGCATCCAAGCTTAATGATGCCATGGGAAGATTCAGAAACATGCGTCGCGCCGGTCGTCATCCAAGATACATTACTTATGCTAAGCTAATTTCTGCTGCTGCTCGCGAGGAACGAATGCCTTTGATCAATGATATTCTTGGTATGGCACGATCTGATGTACCTTTACTTGTCCAATATCCTATCGTTCGTTATGGTTGGGTTTCAATCCTCGACGCTATGGTTGGTGCTTGTCTGACTCTTGGAAACCGCAACCTTGCTGCTCAATACCATCAAGAGCTTCTCGACATGGGTGCTGCACCAACAGCGAACACTTTCGGTCTTTACATTACCACTTTGAAGGAGTCAACCAAGACTTTTGATGAAGCTTCAGAAGCTGTCAAGATCTTCCACCGTGCTAAGACTGAAGGTGTTGAACCTTCGTCTTTCTTGTATAATGCTCTCATTGGTAAACTCGGAAAGGCTCGTCGTATTGATGACTGTCTCTTTTACTTTGCCGAGATGCGCGCTCTTGGCATTCGTCCAACAAGTGTTACTTATGGTACGATCGTCAATGCTCTTTGCCGTGTTAGCGATGAGAAGTTTGCCGAGGAATTGTTCGAAGAGATGGAAGCTATGCCAAATTACAAGGCTAGACCCGCTCCATACAACAGCTTGATGCAATTTTTCCTCACTACCAAGCGTGACAAGACAAAGGTTCTCGCATACTACGAACGAATGAAGTCCAAGGGTATTCAACCAACCAATCACACTTACAAGTTACTTGTCGATACGCATGCTACTCTCGAACCTGTTGATATGTCAGCCGCTGAAGCCATTCTTGATACCATTCGTAGCAATGGCGAGAAGCCAGAAGCTGTTCACTACTCTTCATTGATCCACGCTAAGGGTTGTGTTATGCATGATATGGAAGGTGCTCGAAAGGTTTTCGATTCCGTGATGACTGACTCCTCTATCCGTCCTCAAGCATGTCTCTACCAAGCCTTGTTTGAATCTATGGTCGCTAACCACAACGTCGCTGATACCGAATCTGTTCTCGCCGACATGTCTGCTAGAGGTGTCGCAATGACTCCATATATTGCCAATACTCTCATTCATGGTTGGGCCAATGAGCGCAACATTGAAAAGAGTCAATCGATATTTGCAACTGTCGGAAGAGAAAAGCGAGAGCCAAGTACATACGAAGCAATGACCAGAGCTTATCTTGCTGTTGAGGATAGAGAAAGCGCTAAGGATGTTGTTCAGGAAATGCTTAGCAGAGGATACCCAGGAGCCGTTTCCAACAAGATTCTTGAATTGCTTGGTGGTGGTCATGTCGAAACTTCTTAAGTATCACTTGATCGTATTCACTTAGTTTCGACACTTTAGTCTGTCCTTTGATTCGAGCTCTTCGACTCAAGTCTCTCGGTTGTCTCTATTTAGCGCTTCACGATACCTCTTTTCTTTTGTTCAAGTATGTTATGATACCCGTGCAATGGCACATCCAAATGATGGTGGTGGATTATGGGTATCAAGGTCTTGGTTAGCAGTTAAGCTTGCTTGCTTGTATACTTGCGTTCTGCTTCAGCTGGCTAGTCAGACTAAGATTCTTCTTTTTCTTTGTTCCTTTTATTAGATAATAAAATATCCGAATTCTTTTGAGATTGTAGACTTCTTACTTCAAGAACTCTACGATGTCGAGATCTGGGTAATGGCGTTTCTGAGGGTATGGGGTGGAATTTAGTGTGCTTCTTTTTTTTTAGCTACAGGTAGCATGGCGTTTTGGAGGCGAGGCGAGGAAATGGAATGAAATATATGGATGCATGGTGTATAGAACACGGATATGCATGCATCAAAAGATAAATCTCAACTCTCTATACAGAAATCAGAAGGTGGATGGGGGAAAGCAAGCGAGCGAGTGGTTATGATGGTGCGTTTTTTCTTGGATGAAACCTGGAATTTACCTATCTGGCTGGCTTGGCTTGGCTTTTCGACGATGATGATGATGATGATGGATATATTACAGATACATATCAGATATATATGTAATAATAAAATCAGAAAGATTATTAACATTTATTTTTGTTGCTTGCTTGAGAGGGAGTGATGTTGATGTGATTGTAATATGATATAAGAGTAATCATAACTTGGATTTTGATATCTGATATTAAGATGGAAAGATAGAATTGGAATGCGATCTTGGTAAAATGATGGATGTATATGACCCTGATATACAATGTATCTCATTAGTTTATTATATTGTAATATATTATATTATATCAAATGATAGCTTCTCATAATCTTGAACATTCCCATTAAATGAAGTATAGTATTCCGATGTATAATATGAAGGAAAAGATTGAGATGAAGATGAGTGTCAGGATTATTATTGATTATGGCTATGACTATGACTATGACTATGACTATGACTATGACTATGACTATGACTATGACTATGACTATGACTATGACTATGACTATGACTATGACTATGACTATGACTATGACTATGACTGAGATTGAGATTGAGATTGAGATTGCGAGGAAGAAAAAAAAGACGAAATATCGAGTTCTTGATAGGGACCTGTAGGATGGGAAGGGTAGAGAAGAATATTGGGATTTGGATGAGGATGAGGATTTGGATGAGGATGTGGTGGGGATATCCATTTATTATTGGTGTTGGAGTTGATGTTGAGATTGGTATCCAAGAGGTTTGAAGATGATATGTTTGGGTGCGCAGATGGGATTGAGGAAGTATGGGATTGGGAGGTTGGATTTGGAGACGCGGGTGAGGGGTTCAGATCGATATCGAGGGGTTCGTCCATGGCGATTGTGAATGTGTCGTTTGGGAAGTCGTTTGGGAAGGCGTTTTTGAGATTGGGGGGTGGGGAGCGCATGGGAAGGGGGTTGCGGGTCGGTTGCGGATTTGGGATGATGTGGGAGTGGGAGTGGGAGTGGGAGTGAAAGTGAGAGGTTTGGTAGTCGATTGGATGAGGTGGTGAGATTTTGGGTTGAGGAAATGAATTTTCTGGAAAGTCGAATTCAAACTCTGAGTCGAAGTCTGAGTCTAGAGGCTCGTCCATGGCGACGTGGAATGTGTTTGTATATTCTTCATCTATGGGGGTGGATTCGGTTGGCGGGAAAAGAGGTGTAGCGTTGTGTTTGGAGCTGGAGAGAAGATTTGCAGGAGAATTCTGAGCTGACTGAGGTTTGTGACTAGTGTGTGATGGTGATCTAATCTTATAGACAGAATTTCTGGTTGATTTGAAAGGCTTGGGTGAATTCAGCTTTGTCTCTGTAGTTTTATCATAGTCCTGCTGTCTTTTCTGATTGTTGAGAACTGTGGATGGCCTCGAAGATTTTGAGAAATTCTCTATAGACTCAGCAAATAAATCATCGTCTGAATCTTCGTATAAAGAAATGTTAAACGACATCTCTTCTTTCGTAGCCGCGAATCGATCTTGAGGTGTTGGTGTTGGCAGAGGCGAAATCGAAACTCGAGGTTTTTTAATTCGTGTCCTGTCTTCAAGAACCATTCTATGTGGTGAAAAAGATCGTCTTCTGTTTTTAGAAATCGACCGTTCGAGTTCAGGTTTAGCATCTGGTACTAGAGAAGTCTCTGATTCCATTGCATGCTTGACAACACATGTTAATAATCTCTTCCCCTCTCCCATCGGTCCATTTCCCCATGGTATCTCATACCGTTTCCATCTTTCCGGGCGCTTTTTGTTTAAATGATCAACACACCTATCCACCCACTCTTTTCCAAGAGACGTAACGGCGTACAGTGAAAACCACACATTGCATATTGGTCCGGATTCCATATATGTGAGATTGTACTCGTCAATGTTCAATTCTGCATTCCGGTCGAAGGAAGCTAGAGACTGTGTGAGAATGATTGGGACGATGTAGTCGAGATATTTGTTGATCCCCCAATCAAACTTTTCCAACAGAAAAGGCTGTAGTTTCTTCTCGTCAATTGTCCCAGTCCACATATTTTCCTCCAATGTTCCCAGTCTTTCAACGGAAGAAACACTAGGTGACTTATAGAGACCTAAAATTCTTTCATCCGGAAAATTCCAAGGAACGCTAACTCCTGCATTGGAGCCCACAAAATGTTTCCGTAATTTGGTCCTCCAAATCTCAAGATCCTCTGATGTTTTCATCGCCTCACAAAGTTCCTTTGCAAACCCCAATTCAACAGCCTTACTTGCCTTCCATACCCCACAACCATGTAATCCCTTCCCATAATCCCCTCCCCTCAACAACACAAAAAGTAACCAGCCCCCCCTATCAAACCCCGGATGTTTACTTTCAATAATAATCGCTCTATAAAGCACCACCTTATTCAAATCTTTCATGCCACTCCTCTTCGCCGTCCACCCACCACTACCCTTCCCCTTTTCCTTCTTCTCCCCATTCTCCTCCTCCTCATCACTATAACAAAATCTCATCAAAACCCCACACCCAAACATTAACGCATCACCATCCTCCGTCCAGACACAATCCACCATACCTCTCCTCTGCAACACTGCACATTCCGCTTCCGCCTCCCCAGGCGCCTCATGCCACTTCACTCCTAGAAACTTCAAACAATTTTGCAAAACTTCGCTCTTGTACTTCCACACTCCACCTCCCTTGGCGCCATATTTCTCACCAGGTTTATAAGGACCATCTGCTACGAAAACCAACTGGATGTTCAATTTTAAGAGCCGTACAACGACAGATATAAGATTTCGTTCGTTAAGATGGAGATTGGAATATTCTGAGATTATTCAGTATCAGACCAAGAATCTGGAAACGCACAAACGAAGTTGAGATTGCAAAAATACCTTTACAAAGTTTCGCTTTGTTGCTAATATATAACTTATGTCTCCAAGTTGCCTCATCAACCGCGATTCTCAATGGTCTTTTATGTTGCTCAAAATGTTGGCTTGCAAATTCGGCAAGATCAACAATTTCTTTGCAATCGGCGATGAAATCCCAGAGTCTGATTGATACGTGATGTGTTAGTGATGCATGTTTTGTGACCGGTAAGAAGCAAACGAAAACTTACCCAGGAATACCCATTTTTGGGTTTTGGAGAGAAAGAGATGTGCACAGGGAGATGGTGGGGTGGATGAGCTAGCTTAATGAGGCATGTGTGTGGGTTTCGAGGTCGCTCGTCTTTGAATAGATCAAGTTTCAATCAATATCACAATGTCAAAACTTGAGCTGGTTTTCACGATTAAGTAGGATTGGTTTTTATTATGGCGTAAGATTGATTTGCATCATTGAGACAGGGAGAAGATATGGAATATACCATTCCTTTATTCGGAATCCGTATCCCTCTGATGTGTAAACAACATTTTTATCATAGAATGTATCAAGCCAATTTCAATAGTTATGAGACAACTGACGGATCGAATTCTAATTCTATTTGATTGGTCATATGATCAAAACATGAACACAGTAGAGCTAAACTTGTCACTAGCAGCAATCCCAAGGAAGGTTGGTTTGTCGGCATTGATTTTCTTTTCACATTGACGATTCAAGGATCTGGATACACGGGAGTGCAATGCATGACAGACGATATACGATTACTTCACTGACAATACTTCTTCTATGTAACAAATTCTGCGAAGCCACTCTTGGTGGTAGATATCACCATCAAATCTTTTGTAAGGATTATACAAGCTATGTGCAGCACATGAATGCCATATCAAATGATTATAAGCAAAACCAAAAACACCTCCTAGTACTATTCGCTCAAGCAATTTACGCCGCATGAAAGTAAGTTATAATCATCAAGTCGTAAAGTCGTAAAGTTGTCAAATGGATTAATCAGAAAAGAGCCCATCAAAATCGTCGTCCTTTATACCCGGAGGAAGAGGTTTGTTAGCGAGTGGTGAAACTTTGGAGATTCTTTGTGCATTTGGCGATGCGCTGTGAATGTCCTTTCGAGTTGTTGGTGTAGATGCTGGCTCAGACATATCAGAATCGAAATGCCTAAGTCGAGCTTCTCACATGGTATCCAGTTGTGAGCTTCGTGACGAGACTGGGGTAAAGTTGTGATTGCGAGCACTGACAGTGGGTGTCTGGTTCTCTTCGTCCGAGGAGTCATCGAGTGTGAGGTCGATAGTTGTACTCGAAGATCTTTTTGTATCTCTCAGTTGAGGGGAGTTCGGATTTCTACCCCATTCTGGCAATTTACGCATTGGATTCTCCTTGGTAGACGAAGAGATATTTCGAGCTTGATGTGAAAATTCAGAGTGTGCGGATGCAGATTCTGTAGAAGCGTTGGCAACTGACCTAGGTTCTGATATCTGCTCTGATGTACTTTTGGCCCTCTTTGGTGGTGGCTGTTGATGTAGTGAAGGGACAGTGTTGGTCGAAGCTATTGGCGACCCAGCACGTTTTTTACCTTTGAAAATCGTCTTGGGAGACGCCGCAAATTTATTGCGCTCAGAGGATGGCATAGCTGGGGGAAGAGCTTTTTTGGTACCATGTTCAATAATACAAGCCAGTAAATCCTCACACTTGACCATCTCAGTGACTGGTGCTACTTTCCCGTTTCGACCTTGATTCGTGAACTCGTGTCTCCAAGTTTGTACATCCATGAATGTTACCGCAGATAGCAGTACCTCTACATTCTCCTGAAGGCCAGGCGATTTCTTTTTAGTAATGACTTTAAGTTTGTAGCAGTTGTTACTCGCTTCTTGCCCTGGCTGCGTAGATGCAAGAGAACGAACGAGAAGAATAGGTATGATATATTTGATATATTCAGCTACCCAAAATTGAATATGGGAGCGATGAATCTTTGTAACTCCATCTCGTCAAAAGAGGGGTTCCAAAACTTTCCAATATCGCTCATGATTCGCTCAGGTGAGACTAAAGGCTTGTTGTAAAGCTCAACAATGCGAGTGTCCGGAAAGCTGTCTGGTACATCAATTCGTTTGTTGATGCGTGTGAGATATTGGCGAAGTCTTTTTCTCCAAGTTGGAAATTGTGCATGAGATGCGTTGCAAAGGTCTCCACCAAAACCTTCTTTCGCAGTCGCTATTTGTAATGCTAGAGCAGCGCCACAGTTCGTAAGACTCTTGCCGTCTTTGCTGTAATCACCCCCCTTCAAGACAGCGAATAACACAAGACCATCTCGAGTCAAGCCTGGGAATTGTTTTTGGATTTTATCTGCTCGATAAATGATGATATTATCGAGGTCAACCTCTCGCCTTGTCTCATCAGATTCGTTAACCCAATTTCGATTGTTTCCAGGCCTCTTGACTTTGGGTTTTTTAACATGGCAGAAACGTATTAGAGATGTGCACCCGAACATGAAAGCATCCGAATCTTCTGTCCAAACGACATCAACTACCCCACGGCTTTGCAAAGCTGCGCACTCAGCCTCGGCTTCACCCGGTGCTTCATGCCATATCATGCCTAGAGAAGTCACTGTTTTTTTGAGGAGTTTGTCATCCTGTGAAAGATATTTATACCATGGCGATTGCCCACCATATTTCTCTTTTGGTCGATTACTGCCGTCCGCGACAAAAATCAATTGGATATTCAACTTGAGAAGTTTCAAAATCTTGTAGAAAATGTTCTTCTCGTTTGGGTTCGCAGATGGGACCTCTGGGGACAAACTAAATGTTAGCGGAGTATATCAATGTCTGATTCGGCATTGTGAAGGAAGATATACTTTTGCGAATGGCTTCGACTTCCTTCTTATCTAAATAACACTTGAACTTCCAGATAGAAACATCAACTGCAATTCGAAGGGGCCTTCTTTCCCTCTCAAAATGTTGAGCAGCAAACGCAGCAGTTGATATATTCTCTCCAACTTCAGCTTTGTCGAAAAGCTGCCAGAGTCTGGAGAAAGAACGTTAGTTAGCTGAGATTAGTGAGCCATAGCAAAACATAGCTTACTCTGGTATACCCATCCTGTATGAGCTTACTCCAGTGACGAAGCCAGGGTACATAGGCCAATTTATCAGTTGAGACTAATTTATGCAAGGAAAATTGGATTGTGAGGAGATTATTGAGTTCAGGTCGCGTCGCGTACCTACCTAGGTACTCATTGGTAATTATTGCAATCACGTCTCAATCAGGCAATCACGTGTGTTTCGCTCGCATTCACCACCTTGGGAAAAAACACTATCCATTCAAAGGATCAATTCATTGAAACTTGTTGAAACTATCCTTGTATTCTTTGATCTAATAAGACGACAAAAATCATCTCCAAAATGGCACTTGCTAGGGTACAGAAACCACCACCAAAGCAAATACTTCCCGGCGCACGCTAGAACTAAAACTGCTACACCGCCAGTGGGTGGTGACTGACGGGACACTTCTCAATTTTCGCAATTTTAACAAATTCATTATTTACTTGCTTGGTATCAGAACTCATCTTTTCGTTGTTCAATCTCCAATGAATCATTGTAACGATTCCCAAGATATACGAATTGAAATATATAGATATGAAGAGGTATTACCAAGTCCATTTTTTGCAATGTCCGTATACGTACACCCACTGGTGCACCGATCGCGATTGCTCGCTTGAAGAACTGGGATTTGTATTGCGATAGTTAGTCATGAAGAGTCGCAATGCTTCTCATTCATGCACATATCCAGTTGACAAGTAATTTGAGGGGCCATGAGAGACCTCAGTCGGAGCAGGCTTAGGACCACAGATATGGACTATACATATATTCAGTGCAGTTCTGAAAATATAAACACTACTGGTTTGTTGTCGATTAGTCTCAGAAATCATGCCCTTAAGCAAATATCTTAGCTTCATCTCGGCCAAACAACACAATTCTCACAGTATCCAGTTGGTTCAAATCGAACGACAAAGCAAGAGCCGCCTCTGGAAGATACTGACTGGCTCCCGTGATTCAGGAAAGAACAACACAAATCAGCATGATACTTTGTAACAATCTTCTGATTCTGGATTGATCAAGCTTTGCACAAACTGAGGCTGCAATAAAGACATATGTTTCGTGATACCTACTTTCTCCTCACATACTTGAAAACTACATCCTGCGGCCTATTAACCTGCAACGTCAATTTCGGCGAACTATCCTCCAAAATTTCCATCAACCTCCTCTTCGCATCCTCCTCTGTCTCCCCATCTCTTCTCACAATCTCCACATTCCACTTCCGGAATATTTCATACAGCACGGCGACAAATTCTACTTGTGACATTTTCATCCCAGGGCAATAGCGAGGTCCGTGGGACCAAGCAAGAAATGTGCCTTTGGGAGGCTCTCGAAAAGTTTCTTTCTTTGAAGAAGGAGACGTTTCGATCCAGCGCGAGGGCCGGTAATCTAATGAATCTGCACCCCATATTGAGGGCAGAGTGTGAATTACGGTGGTGTTGAGCTGGACTTCTGTTTCGGGGGAAAAGTTGATGTTTTTGATGGTTTGTGCTTGTGGTGTTCTGCGGGATATAGTAGGGACTAACGTGTATAGACGGAGCGTTTCGTACTAAATTTAGGTAAATATCAAGTCAACTTCAGGTACCTACAGCGATTGGCTTCAAAATGAGGCTAGGGGTTAATACATACCATTAGTGCTAGGGAGCGAGTAAGAAGGGGAAAGGTGGTAGAGTACTCGGAGTCGGGATGTAATTTTTCGACTTCGTCGATCTCGGCGATGATCCAATTTTGCAATTCTGGATAGAGTGCTAGACACATGATAGCATACGAGAGGGTATTTGCCGTAGTATCGAATCCTCCGACGGTCTGTATTTGATCAGAACTGTTCCGGGCGGTTCTCAAACGAACTCATTCTGGACTTACCATGGCAAATAAATTTCCAGTAACATCTTCATTTGATAAATATGCCGACGTCTTTGAGCGTGAAAAATCCGTACTCTGATCGGCAATTCTCACCAGGGAAGTGAGGAGAGAATTTCGAGAACTTGGGGAACTTCTTTCTTCGGCTATACTTTGGTTCAGGTGGAGGGGAAACTCGGCTTTGGCAATACCCATCTTCTGTACGGCAGCTGGCATGTACTTTGAAGTTAGGTATTTCGTAGGTATGAATACCGTCGCAAAGAGGTTGTGTACAATAGTTAGTAAACACGATGTGAATGTAGTTTCAAATCCTTCCGGGGGTGTCTTCGCGTTCACAGCTTCCCCCCAAGATTGACGAGTACCGAAGCAAACGAATGTAATCACGTTGATGGTGATGGTCCTCAAGCCTTCGAATGTGACGTTGGTCGAGCTTGATTCATTGTTCATAGATGGCTTTGACAATGTAGAAACCATATCTTGAGTTTGTGTTAGAGATTCATTCCAGACTTCTTTCATGATTCTCTCATTCAAAGCAGGTGCTACAATTCTTCGATGTCTTTGCCAATCTTCTCCTTCTGATGCACTTATGTTTGGCCCCCACACATCCATTACCCCTACACTCAAGTTAGCTTTTGTATTGACTCAACGAAAACACGAGAAAACACCCACGGAGAGCAATTTGATTTTTCGCAAAGTCTTTTCTTCTTGTTAAGGCCTCCTCAGCTACTTCAGCGTCTCCGACAAAGACTGTGTTTTTCCCAGGTGTAACAAGAATAAACGAATTGCCCCATTTTTCATGAACAAAATATTTGCAATAATGTTCCCATGCGGGGATCGTTATCTTGACCCTATCGAAGATGAATTGAGGCAAAACTTTTGATAGATTCGAATATCCGACAGTTGCACAAATGATAAGCCTATAAATGATGATGTTTGAGAAGATGAGGCGACAACAGTAGAACATCAATCACTAACCAGAACGGATTTGCTGAACCCCATAAGCCAAATTTAATAGGCAAGCCGGAATTTTTCGCAGCACGATAATTACTTGGCAGAGCAGAAAGATACCATATTGTGAAAGCTAGAATCAGCAATAGTGAGGTCAAGAGAATACCCATTTTTCGATATCTTTCTTGAAGTTTGTTGATGATTGACTTTATCAGATTCTGAGACGGGTTGCAGTTCGTATATATATGTCGGTTTCAACCACCAACATGTTCAACATAACGTTACTCTGTTGGCACTTGCTGCATACAGATCTGTATCCTAGTATTTGCGGGACCATAAAACCCCAGTAGTACATCGATAACACAAAATAATCGCTGTACTCCATCGCTAGGAAGCTTCTGATGGTCTAAGAAGTGGCTTCGGTTGCTAACCGATGCAGCTTCTGCAGATTTTAGTGTGCACACTACATTCGTCGATCTCGTTCGATCTCAACGGTTCTTAATGCTGCCATTAAAGCCAAGGCGAGATTAATAACACCAAAAAGAATAGTACCAAAAATAACTAGAACATCTGAAGAAATGCCCCAGAAAAGGCAAACAATGGAAGAATTGATTGCGGACGTAATCTTGATAGGCATAAAACTTACAGGGTCGGTTGGGTAAAGTATGGCTAAATACAAAAGATGCATGTGAATTGGCCAATCAATTTTCTTCCCGAGATCAGTCCCAAACCCTCGGTACCGACTCACCATTTTGAATATCCCAATTCAGATTTGACAATCAATTGACCTTCCTTTTCTCTTGAAATCCGTTTTGATATCGTATTTCAATACATATTCGAAGCAGTCCTTTGAGATTTCAGAGCCCGATACCATTTTCAATGTTTGTCTTGGTGTGCGGATTGCGTGAGACAGATGTAAACGATCTCTTATAATTGATTTGCTTCCCCCCTCCTTCGTCTTCTTTTCGTCTGACAAGTGAAATTGATGCCGAATAAGTATATTCGAATTTGATCAAAAAAAAAATAATAATAATAATAATAATAATCATCAGATCGTTGATTTCTCCCCTTGGAAGACGAGAATCAATCTCCAACCAAACAAAAAACGCATTATAACACGTTCGAGCATTTTCGTCCACAAACATTGGTTTCTGATGCTAAAAGTGATAGCAAGAGCCTTTTCAACACGCAATGTGTATTTATGGTTAGCTTGAGTTGGATAGTATCGATCTCTCGAGCCTTACAACTCCTCTGTCCAACGCTACTATTCTTTCACTGGAGTTTCCAAAAAACTTCTTGATGAAATCATCCAGTATACCTTTCCAGAAAATTTCAAGGGCTAGCATCAATCTTTTAGAGATGTGTACCAATAATTCAATGCTATTCCAAATTCAATGCATCATTTCACAGCTTTACTTCGGTTACTCCGATGGCTGTAGCGACCGCGGATTTGGTGACCGCAAATGTGGTGGTGAGAAAGTTTGTGGTCGAAATGGTACTGCCATTAAAATAGCATAGGATTTGAGGTTCCGTATTGACGTTGAACCTGTTGTGCCACGTTACATTCGAATTGTCGATTTCACACATATAATTTTTGACCCCATTACGTGTTTCGGTTCCAATATGCGGTCTCTGAAGATAGCGACTCTTGCTGTTTGGCTGGAATAATATCGATTGGCGATTCTTCCTCGGATCGAGTCAACAGTTCTCATTTGGAAGGTATTTCGTGCCCAAATTGAGGACGATGTAGAGGGAGATTGGTATTCATAAAAGTTCCTGCTTTATTCTTCTTACGCTTCTACCGAACGTGGATAAGCTTAAGATGGTAATCTCTGTTGATGAATATGCGCCATAGCCTACAGACTTGTCCATAACGTTTTAGTCAAGACTACGCAGACTCTTAAGACGAACACTCGTTTGCGGCTTGACAAGATCAGAGAAACTCAAACAGTTATCAAGAGTGATAAGATTGTCTTAGATAATATCCTAGCGTTCCAGTCTCTGTCGCTTGTCTGCTCTTACCTATAGTTGATGCTGGCCCCAAGTTTTGGCTCGAAGACCCATGTCGCGATACTTTGGAATCCCTTGACGCGGTCCCTTTCTTTCGTTTTAATGTCGATGGTATAGCTCTTGCAAGTTTCCTCGAGCACAATCCTGTTCTCAAGATACATCAATCGCATCTAGACAGAGAGGACAGGCTTATGGCAAGATGTTAGCGCGCAGCTTTCAACGACTGCGACCGTTTGAATTGCCCCTAAAAATCGTGATGCGCGATGTCAGATTCGCTTCCACGATAGATCAAACAATGGAATGTTGGGGACCATCCATCGGTGGTCTTGTATCTAGTTGTGTTTCCCAGCTGTTGTTCCTTTTACAAGGAAATAGCAAGCGTAAAAGGGCATTCGGCATTTTTTGTCGCCTCATCGCCGCCAAGAAGGATGCAAAATCATCTGTTCTTCAAGAAGTTCATCTCTCATGCCTTTAATATCCAGATGACATATTGTATAAGAACATGCGTACAGCCTGCTCAAAAGCCGCGAGAATTGAAAATAGTGTTTCAACTGGGACACTAACCTATATCGCATAGACCTTTAGTATGTTTAGTGAAGATGTTGATACCTTTGCTCGGAGATAATGCTGAGATTAAAGGCGTGGAAGGTAGATAGGAGACATGAGATCTTAGTAGTGTTCAAGATAAACTTCAAAGAGGGTCCCCTGATTATGTTAATTGAAAATGTACTGAATCTCTACTATGGAAACCTCAACGCGAAAATTCGAGGTGTTTCTATATCATTAAGAAGTTTCGGCGAAGTTGAATATGAAAGCGAAAGACTACAGCGCCTAGTACTTGATCAGAACCATTCATCTTAATCAAAATGTCTCAAAATAAGCTAGAGAATTTGAAACAGAAGGCTGTTCGAGAATTAGGGAGGGAAAGTTAATACTACTACTTTTTCATGCAGGGTAGGAAACTCCTGTCAATCGATCCATTCCATATGGCCGAGGCAAGCTCCTGTCTATCCAACCAGGGATGATGCACATGCACACCAACGTTCGAATCTGATTCTAGATGTGCAAACGGCCATAGCGGGCGCAAAGCCTACCACATAATCAATCATGATACAAGTATTCATCTTGTGACCGTGAGTACCTTAGTATCTAACCAAGCTTCATCGACATATGTAACCTGATGCGATTTGTGTAGAAATCGATCTCTCAGGAAGGGGAAATATAATTCATCCGAACTCTTTCGTTTCTCACTACCGCTAGTCAATGTATTCGTCTTCGGCAAAATATGGGATAAAACTTGGTATGTCTGGGCATTATAAAATCGAACACGGAAAAGGTCTCAAGCTTCTAATACGATACACAGCACTTGGTTAAGAGAGTCATGCTCATATACTTAAAAGACTACATAGCAATCACCTCATACCCGAGTTTTCGGCGTGTGGCCTCACTCCTGTTTCGCGCTTACATAACTCAGTCTTCGTAAGTTCGTACCCGGCATGAAAAAAACTAGCGGCCGCAGTTACGAGACTCCAATGCATTTACGAGCAACGCCGCACTCGAAGTTTTTTCATTCGAGTTTCCATTATTCCATGAAATGCACCTGGTGATCGTACCTACCTACTTACATAATCACCTTTCCGAACACTTCTCGTTCTTACGCACATTAGAACGGAACTTTCCATTCTTAGTCTTTTCCGAGCGCTCCAGGACTTCAGACGGCATTTGTATTCGTCCGAATGTAAAACCCGTCAATTGAGGATACCAACACCATGAGGACACGACAGAGGGAAAAGAATCCTACATGTGCCTGCATATCAGATGATATCTGGGCGCATGGCGATCTCGTGGCATCGCATCGTGGCATGACAAGTTCCCCAAAATCTGAGCCACGATCCCCAGATCAAACCATCAAACCATCAAAGCGTTGCGAACAATCAAAACTCGGCGTCAAATTTCACGTTACGGTCTTTGGGGGCGGACGACGAAACGTCCTTACATTCTCCGTATAAGTGATCGTATAAGAAACAAAGTAGTTTATTCGATGGATCGTTGATGTTGACTCTTCTAGCGTCTCTAGTTTCTCTAGTTTCTCTCCGCCAACCAATGAGCATCAGAAATCCTTCCAAGTATATGCGAGAATGCTTGTTAGAAAACCGGATCTACGTATTACGGACACGGGACTCGGACTCAGCCTTATGCCGATCCGTAATCACGCACGTAAAAAAATTGACATGAACCCCGATCGAGAAATTTGCTACATTTTTTAACTTTGTTCTCGTGGTAAGTTTCTATTGAGTCTCGAGTCTTGACCCTTTAGATACTTAGGCTACAATGAATCAGATGGAATGGCGCGGATGGATTGGATTCCTGGTTCCGCCTTGGTAGAGGGAACGGTGAGTCAATTGTGTTTATATAATATATGTATCAGGGTGCCCCCATGCGAAAGGTTTGTTTACACAAAAGCTTATGAAATACACTCGAAAAATACCTACAACTTTTTCCATCAAGAGTTGAATCATCTTCGTCGCAATGGGAAATACACATTCACATCATCATCACCATGAGTCGAGACAAGATTCAAATTCTCGATGTCCATACAAACGAACCTCAAGAACAAACTCTGAGCATTCAAATAATTCAACATCCACCTCATCTACCTCATCCCCATCAGTATCACGCTCACAATCTACTCGATCTCCTTCATCGCCGCGAAAGTTCTTGGGTCGTCATTCACTCTCTTTAAACGATTCACATAAGATACGAGAACAAACCATGCAAGAGCCGGAAAAAAGACCTCCGATTAGGATTGGATACCCTTATTATGAGGAAGTTACCATGTTAGCCGAGAAGAAAGAGAAGAGGCATAAGAGGCATAGTTTGAGAGGTAGATGAGATCTTGGTTATGTCAACACTTATTCGGGGCTGGTTATCGAATTTCATCGCTGGATTGATGGAGAAAAGTAGACGAAGAAGGAAATACCCAACGAAGTCTATGAGAAGGACTATTTTGATATTTGGGAAATGGGAGCACAACGAAACGGAGATTCCCAGGGCAGAGGATTGGAAACGGCGGACGATGTACTGATACCCAACTCATTTGTGAATTTATTCGGCGTTCAATATATCAATAGGGCGTATGACAGAGAGGCATGGCATATAGCACTCTATATGTACAAACTTGAGACTTAAGAAATTTAAACAATTATCTAAACAAAACCACTCTGATCTCTGAAGAATGTATCTTCCCTTATCATTATGAGTATCTTGAGATTAAAACACCATTGCGCCCCATCCATAAAACATACATACATCACACCGACCCAACACCCTATGACCGATAATACCCAGGCCGTTTCTACTCATTCTTAAAACATATCCGAAGGGCCAACAGGGACTTGCAGTAACGCTAACAATGCAGCGGCAATCGTAGGTCCCAGTGCGGTGATAGCCCTAGGATTAAAAGTTATCGTCCAGACATTATTTATCGTGCATCCAGATGCGATAGGAACGCCATTAAACCTGTCGATTAGAAACGTAAACGCATCGCCCGCACCAGTAATCGCTTCAGTAGCATGCCCCCCAAACATATCACGAGCATATTTGATATTAGCTCCTTGAGAGCAAAGCTTGCTGACAACAGTATCTGTATCCTCGACTTTCGAAACCTCATCACCGATCGCCTTATAGAGAAATATCGGCATATTTGGGGTCCCATATATACCCATTTGTCCGGTGATGGCCAGGACATCCTTTGCAACATTGGTAAATAGGGTTGATAGTCCATTATCAAGATATACACCTATGTCTTGTCCAAGGAAGCTTGCGATGTTGACACCTAAACATTGAGTTGATGCTTTGTAAAATTTGGAAGCTGTTGATGGAACAAGGTTTTTAAGAAGATATTCTTTCAATTCTGGGTAACCATTGGTCAGACCGATAACTCCAGCGGGAATTAAACCAGTGAAGAGACCTTTGTTAGAGGAGAGCATCACAGATGTAATGTTCGGTACAAGACCACCCAAAGCAGTTCCCTTAAAGTTAAGCTCTGGTGCGTAGGAAGGTTGAAGTTCTGCTGCCCATTCAGAAGCCAGAGATCCGCCAGAGTAGCCCCACATTTGATACTCGGCTTGAGATGAAATGCTAGTCAAATCCCCAGATGACAGAGCCGCACGAACAGAATCAAGAGTCGCTTGACCAGCTTGTATACCGGAAGTGAAGGCTGATTGAAGGCCCTCGTAATCGGGAAGATTGACTATCCACCCTTGATTGAGAGCAGCAATGACCAGCAAGGTCTCAGCCGCACCAGAGCCCCCATTTTTTAAACTTGATCCCAACTGTAATATATAAGATGGTGCACAATTTGGCCACGCAGCGTCTGTCGCCATTTGGTAGGATAGTAACCTCGATGAGTTCGCATTCTTTGGCACAATGATTGTTGTGACTGCTGCTGATGCATCACCCAAGCTATCAGTCGTTCTATAGAGAAGTTGATGTGCGCCCTTGACTTGGAATGGCATGACACCTCCAATTGAAAGGTCGTCTATTGATCTGCTGCGTAAGATCGTGCCTGGTTGAGAATCTTCAAGTCCTGTTGGTGGGACATAAAAGGGATCATCTGTGGGAGGTATTGGGAGTGCATTTTGCAAAAGTTGATCACTGGTCGGGACTGCAAATGTGGTGGTAACCCAAAGGAAAATGTACCAAACAGTCGCGAAAATGAACCTCATATTTACAAGCTGTACACCAATAATTCAATTTGAGAGAATAAAAAATGAGCAGAATTGTGGCGGCAATTGAAAAGATTGGAAAGCATGGCAAATAGAATACAAAGGTACATGCTGGCAGATTTATATGAGAACTTCATATTCGAGCTCTGCCGTTGCTGATATATATTTAGACACGTGAGTACATGTTCTCGGTATCCAGCCTCTGAGCACGATTCAAGGGCACACGAGATATGAGTCTTGTGTAGAACTTGCGTTGTACAGATGGACGACCACGTTCCCCTTATACTTTAAACCGAGTTGTTTACTATTAGCAGATCGAGCTTCGATCAGGTGGAAGACCCTTAACTTTTCGGAGAAATTGATCATTATGTTAAGGATGTGAAAATATGGGACAACGAATTGTTAGAAATCTGCAAACTCATCGTTGATTAAAGTTTGCGAGAGGATTGTGATGCGGCAGGGAGAGGTAAATCCGCACTTGAACAAGTAGCTGTATCGGGAATCCAGTCACGTGGAATTAACCTTAAAGAAAGTTAAGCCTTGACGGCAGTCATTTGATTGTCACACTACGCTGAAGCGAAATGACCAAGCTAGCTTTTAGTCTTGAGAAAACAAGACGATCAACGTTGATGCCGCATGGAATATAATTAGATTGTTCGTTCTGGGTCACTTCAACGAGGCCAAGAAAAGCTTATAGGCGGCTCGCTCCCATTGTCCAAACACATTCTGAACACGATCAGATGATGCCACCTCAATACTTTAACGTAAAAATGGGAAAAAGCCACAGACTAATTCTACTCCATTGTCCAGGTTCAAATTGAACATCAGACTGCCGTTGGCCAGTTCGTGGTGCTTTGGGGTGACTGAAATGCTTCCGCCACGTCAAAGGAATCCCTTTTGAGAGGCTTGAAATGACGCCTCTGTCATCATCAATTGAAAATGTCCATATATCCATATCCCTTTTTGGTATCCGGGAACCCGAAACACAACCTCAAAGTACAATCAATACTAGCTTGATTGTGAGGATTTGGCATTCAACCAATAGGTTCCTTCAAGCTATACTACATTCAACTTGGAGCCGTATTAACCTTGATTTCATTTCCGCCGAGACAATATCTTACAAGCCTTGAAGAAAAAACCCATTCTACAACGAAACTTCGAAAGGGATGAGTGGGATGGGATGACATTGATCATGTCAATGTCTAGGTGTTTTTTGCAATGTCACCCTGCACGGTTTATCTCAGCTGGCCTTTAGAATGATGATCATCACTGTAGCTGGCCAAAGTTATTGGCATGGCTTTCCAAGCAAGCGCTGGATGTGGATTGAATGCAATTCTACTTTGTACATATAAATTGCTTTTCTCACTCACAATGGCAGGAGGGTAATTTTTTGGTCAATTGATTCCCGGTTCTCCATCATGCTGTCTATAATCATTCATCTGCTATTCACAATAGCTTCTGCTGCTGTTCTCTCGGACAGACAGACGTTAACAGGTAGTGATGTTTGTCAGCAAATAAGCGGAAACATTACCGGCGAGGTCTACTTCCCCTTGAGTTTGGAACTCAATTTTAAGAAAGATATTGAGCATTATATGTCATCCAGTGTATGTTTTGACCCACTTATTAATTCCTGCCAGAAGAACTTTCTTTTATCTTCTTCTCATTGAAGGAACTGGAGAAGAAAGGGGATTGAGGGGTTGCGAATGCTGATTATATTCTCCATATAGACACAGATACCAATGTGCGTTGTTGAAGTTGCTAGCGATGCAGATGTTTCTACCGTCATTAAGATCATAGGATCTAGAAGAATTCCCTGGGGAGTGAAATCCGGTGGACATGCGTCGAATCCTGGATTCTCTAGTACTCCTGGAGTCTTTATCTCTCTAGCGAGACTGACTCAAATTACACTTTCTGAGGACCAAAGTACAGTTGAGTTAGGTACCGGAAACGTAGGTTACTCTATCAACGCTCTGCTTGTGTTCATGAACATTGACAATTAAAACAGCATTGGACTGATGTTTACACGGTCCTCGAAGGAACGAGTGTTAACGTTGTTGGGGGACGTGTCGTTGGTCCTGGTGTCGGTGGCTTCAGTCTTGGAGGGGGTTATTCCTGGTTGACAGATCAATACGGTTTGACTTGCGACACGATCATCTCCTATAATCTTGTTCTTCCTAATGGTACCATAACCAAAGTTGATTCTTCGAATCCTGATCTCTTCTTCGCCCTCAAAGGTGGTTTAAATCGATTCGGCATCGTCACGAGTTTTGTTTTTAAAACAGTTCCACAACAGAACATGGTATATGGCGGAATTCAGATATATGGGATTGATGCAATTCCTGGTCTTATCAATGCCACGAATACTTTTCAACAAGAGAATACAGATGACAAAGCCCAGGTAATTCTCACCATTAATGGTGGTTTGGTCCCGAATGCCATCCTTATTTCATTCTACGATGGTCCAACTCGACCTGCAGCGTTCGATCCTTTCAACAATGTTGGCGCCATTCCACTGATATCTAATGTCGAACCTCAATCTTTCGCATCATTTGCTAAAGCCACTCCGTCCCCTCTCCAAGCCGGATATAGAGGAGCCTTTCATACCATGATGACCACCAGTCTTACAGTCGGTTTCATGCAAGCAGTCTATAATGAATCTAGGTTTTACGGAGCTCTCGCTATCCTTCATAGTGGAACGTTCATCTCTTACGACATTGAGCCTTTTACCGACTACGGCAAATACGCCACCGATTCTGCGTTTCCTCACGACAGCTCCCCACTGCCATTAAATCTCTATTTTGCTTGGACTCTGGTGACCGAAGATGCATTCTGGAGAGGGGTTATGCAACAGAGCATAGATCATCTAACTGAGGTTGCTAAGAGGGAGGGCATTTATTCCGAAGATCAATATGCATATCCGAACTACGCTTTGAGCACTTATGGCGGTGCTCAGCTTTATGGACCAACGAATGCAGCGAGATTAAGAGCAATTCAGACAAAGTATGATCCAAATGGAGTCATGCTTCTTGCTGGTGGGTTTAATTTCTAGGCGTATATGATGTTTGTCAATAATAGTGAAGGAAGTTTGTAAGTAATTTTTATTGGATTAATAGCATGAAGTTGGTAGCATTTAATAATTGATATTGCCTCATTTCAAGATGACAATAGAAGATTGAAAAATCGAGGTTTTGAAAAGTCTAAGTTTGTTGAACAACATCCATTTGGAATTATGTTGAACGCCATACAGTAAGTGGTACTCAGGACCATTTTGTCGTGCCATATCACCAAAAATCAATTCATATTTTGAGTGTACAAAATTAATCCTGATTATGTCGAGTGAACACTGTGGAATAGCTATGTAACGGAGTTTTAACACTTTCGAAGCCAATGATCAAAAATCTTGGGGTTTGATCTGGTATTCAACTTCTCTTTGTTGTCCTCGGTGTATGTGGTGTAAACGAATTGCAATCCGTACAGTATATTCGTTTTTTAAATCAACCGCATATAGTATCGAAGAGACAACGAGATATTTCATCTAATTAGTCTCGATCATATCTTATAATATACCCCAAATCAGAATTTCGAAGATCTTATATTTACATGAATTTTGGTTGTCTACGACTGTAGCCTCTCGTCCCACACGAAAATCAAGCTCCAAAACCATCAACCAATCAAAACAAAGCCCATCGTAATCCTTACCGAACCACCTCAAATTTCAATTCCGCTCCGAATCCACCCTAATACTCAATTGTATCCCACACCACCACCACTTTACCTCTCCTCTCCATCTCAACATACCACACAACACACGCCGACGATGGCATCATTATTCACATCCCGCGCACTCCTGCGCAGTGCCCCTCGCACATTCTCTGCCGTAACTCCCGCCATCCGCGCCCTCTCTACCACACCAGTTCGTCCCGATGCCTCCGCTTCCACCACGGATAGATTCAGCAACATTCCAGATTTCAGCAAATACAGAAGTAAGAAGAGTGGTGGAAGCAATTTGGTTTATCAATACTTTATGGTGGGAGCTATGGGTGCTTTGACAGCCGCGGGGGCAAAGGCTACTGTTCAAGGTTTGTCTTTTTTCCTTCCTTTGGATATGGGATAGAATTTCAGGTCTGCGAAACGGAAGATTGTCGAATACTGGCAAGGATATTATGACCGATTAGAGAACTGGAGAATATGATATGAAATGCAATTGAAGGAATTGCACCTACGGGACCCATGGACTGACGATGTACTCCAAACAGATTTCCTCGTCAACATGTCCGCATCCGCAGATGTTTTGGCTATGGCCAAAGTTGAGGTTGATTTGAATGCTATTCCTGAGGGCAAGAACGTACGTTCATTATTATTACACCTGCCTCTTCCGACATGATCAAAGACAAATTCCTGACATGAATACACAAAATAGGTCATCATCAAGTGGCGTGGAAAGCCCGTCTTCATCAGACACAGAACTGCCGATGAGATCAAGGAGGCCGAGAACGTCAAAGTCGAGACTTTAAGAGATCCACAATCCGACGCCGACCGTGTCAAGAAGCCAGAATGGTTGGTTATGGTTGGTATGTATTATATTTTCTCCAATCCACACGGTCTAGTCGATGCAAGATATTAATGGAGAATCAAACAGGTGTCTGCACACATCTTGGATGTGTCCCAATTGGAGAAGCTGGTGATTTCGGAGGATGGTTCTGCCCATGTCACGGTTCCCACTACGATATTTCCGGCCGTATAAGAAAGGGACCTGCTCCATTGAACTTGGAGGTTCCAGAATATGATTTCGCTGAAGAATCTTCTTTGGTCATTGGTTAAATTTGAGGATCGAGTGAGAGCGATTTTGTAGTTGTATAAACTTGGAGGACGGAAGAGTGGAAGATAGATGAAACAACGTTTTTATTTTGAACGAGAGAGAATGATAGACCTTGATCTGGAAGCGTTATGGCTTTGTAGAAGGGGTGGTGGAATGGCCTTTGTACATAAGATCGGATAAATGATATCGCTTCGAAAAGTTTCAAAATTTGGATTTAACCACTCACTGTGTTTATGGTTGTTTTGTATATGGAATAAAAGTTTCCAAGTGATCTACCCATGAATTTGATACTTTGCAATGGTTAATCGGGGAGGTCAAAAATTCACAACTAGGAAACAGACAAGTTACAGGTAAATGCTTTCTTTTGATTCACATTATCATATCCCGTAATATTACATCTCCTTCATATGTAGGTCATTTCTTCATCTAAAGCCATCAATCATCAATGTCCATGTCCATCATCCTCTCTCTGTTCCGGATCCAGCTTGATCAAGGTATCTATCCTCATGATGGAAATACAAGCTTCAACCGCCGACTTCAATTGTCGAATCTTGCTCATGCTTGGCTCCAAAACACCAGCCTTAATCTCATCCACTACTTTACCCTTCAACAAATCCAATCCGTAGTTCTTATAGTTCTTCTTCTTGGCAATGGTCTTTTCATCTTCGTTAGCATCGCCATCCTTAATACGTTGCGATAGAGCGTGTCGGGAACGGAGCTGAGCAACCAATTCAGATGAATCTTTAGCAGCGTTGACAGCGAGGGTTTTTGGGATCACGAGGAGAGCCTGAGCAAATTCACCAATGGCAAGTTGCTCTCTTGAGCCAACAGTACCGGCAAATTCTTCCAAATAGATGTGGAGTGCAGTCTCACATGCACCACCTCCTGGAACGATACTTCCGCTCTCTAAAGTTCGCTTAACAGCGCATAGAGAATCGTGAACGGATCTCTCCATCTCGTCGAGTTGATAGTCGTTGGGTCCTCTAAGGATGATGGATGCAGAGGTGTGAACTTTGGTACCCTTGACCAAAATACATTCGTCGTCGGAAATTCTCTCCTGAACAACTTCTTCGGCATGTCCTAATGAAGATGCTTCGAATTTCTCGTCACCGTTCAAATCAGACAATGAGCTGATCAAGGTAGCACCGGTTGCCTTTGCTATTCTTCTCAAGTCCTCCTTCTTACATCTTCGGACAGCCATGGCACCCTTCTCAATGAAGAGTTTCAGGCACATATCGTCAATACCCTTTGTCGTCATAACCACATTTGCTCCAGCCTTGAGGATCATATCGATTCGGTCCATAACAATTCCAGCCTCTCTCTTACGAATTTCTTCTAATTGTGTTGGATCGTCGATTGTAATGTTGACACCGAGCTTCATTCTCTCCTTCTGTAGGTTGATATCTAAAATGGCAATCTTGGCATCCGTGATTCTGGTCTTCATTGCTTGTGATGCAACTGTACAATTCAACGCATAACCCTTGACCAAAATAGACTCCAAAGCTCCTTTACCGTGTGCTTTTAAAATGTTGACAGCCTTGACAGGGTATTTAACTTCCTGTCGGGTATTTGTTGATTTGACTGCCTGCATAGCATCTACAACCATGTTTGCAAAGAAATCGGAATCTGATCCAATAATCTTACTCGACATGGAAGTTTTGGCGATGCTGATCAAAGAGTCCCGACCCAACTGGTCCACCTTCACACTGATGTTCTCGTGCATGTACTTGACAGCTTCACGGAGTGCTAAACGGTAACCAGTGATGATTGTGGTAGGATGTATACGGTTCTTCATAAGTTCGTTAGCTCTTCGGAGAAGCTCTGCTGCAATAATAACCACAGATGTTGTTCCATCTCCAACTTCTTTATCTTGTTGCTGTGCCAAGTCGACTAAGATCTTGCCGGCTGGATGTTCGACATCTAATAAACTCAGAATAGTTGCGCCATCGTTTGTGACTGTAACATCCTGTCTGAAATCAGTATTTGGTGGGGTTCTTTTGGAGTGGACAAGCATACTCCTATATCATCTACCATCATTTTGTCCAAACCACTTGGACCAAATGAACTTTTGACAACATTGGCAATAGCCTGGGTTGCAAGAACTATGAACAGGGTTAATTCACATCTTTTTCGTGAACATCTTAGCTCATACCATTTTGATCTCTAATATCTTGTCCACTGATCTTTTGGCCGCCGAGGACTACTTGTTATTAGCATTTTTACCAGCAAAATTTCTAAGAGCAAACATACACAAAGTTCCGGCATTTCTAGGTTGTTCAAAAAGGGACCCCATATTGTTGATATTCTTAAAATGGCGGAAACTTTTCTGGTAATATTTCTTCTTCGTCGTCGCGAGAGAAAAGGGACGCGAGAGCTTTCCACGCTAATATTTTTAAGCATTTGGCCTTGAAAATTAAGGCAAGAGCTCAGCCTCGTCGAAATACTTAGTGGGGCCGACCAGGCCAGGGGAAAGTCCACTAATAAATCGCAAGCCTGAATAAATCCTTGTCGCTTAAATTTTAGGGCGGGGGAACAGTTGAAGGGAGTCAATGAATCAGTCACTCGTTCAATAAACAAAAGCAACTTTCTTCTTTCACACTTTTCACCACTAACAACCAACATAATCATGGCGGACTCCAATACTCCAGAAGTTGCGCAGGAAGGGCCATCTAAAAGTGCCTTGAAAAAAGCCGCCAAGGAAGCAAAGATGGCTGCAGATAAAGCCGCGAAAGCTGCTAAGAATGCTGCGCTTCCTGTAGTGGGGGGTAAGAAAACAGATGATATTATTGGTATTACTGTCAAGAAATCCGAAGACTTCTCACAATGGTATCAAGAGGTTGTTTTGAAGGCGGAGATGATAGAGTATTACAATGAAATCTCCGGGTTCTTTATATTACGGCCTCAATCTATGTTTATCTGGAACCAAATTCGAAATTGGTTTCAAGCAAAAATCGAGACACTTGATGTAGAGGAGGCTAGTTTCCCCATGTTCTTGTCTTCAAAGTCATTGGAGAAAGAGAAGGATCACGTCGAGGGTTTTGCTCCTGAGCTTGCTTGGGTTACCAAGGCGTAAGTTTCACTATCTTATTCTCCCCTACCCCGCTATACTAACTGTGATAAAGTGGTGATAAAGATCTCGAAGTTCCTGTTGCAGTCCGTCCTACCTCAGAAGCTGTTATGTACCCATACTACTCGAAATGGATCCGAAGTCATCGAGACCTTCCTTTACGGTTGAACCAGTGGAACAGTGTCGTTCGTTGGGAAGCCAAACAAACAACTCCATTCTTGAGAGCTAGGGAATTCTTATGGCAGGAAGGACATACCGCACATCTTACGGAAGAACTCGCCGGGGAGGAAGTTCTTCAGATCCTCGAGTTTTACGCTGGTGTTTATGAGCAATTATTGGCAGTTCCAGTTGTCCGTGGTCGCAAAACCGAGAAGGAAAAGTTCGCAGGAGGATACTATACTACAACAGTTGAAGGTTATATTCCCTCCAACGGGCGCGGTATTCAAGGTGCTACTTCTCACTGCCTTGGTCAAAATTTCAGTAAGATGTTCGATATTACCGTCGAGGATCCAACTCCAAAGAACGGGGAAAAGGCTGGCCATCTTCACGTCTGGCAAAATTCTTGGGGTCTTTCCACTCGTGTTATCGGTGTCATGGTCATGATTCACGGTGATGACAAAGGACTTGTTCTCCCACCCCGTATCGCAAAGCTCCAGGCCATTATCGTCCCAGTCGGAATTACAAATAAAACCACTCCCGAAGAAAAGGCCAAGAGGTACGATGAACTACAAAATATTAAGGACACTCTCAAGAAAGCTGGTGTTCGCGCCGACTACGATATCCGTGATGGATATACTCCAGCTTGGAAATTTAACGATTGGGAATTGAAGGGTGTTCCTCTCCGTCTTGAATACGGCCCAAGAGATGCTGCCCAAGAGGTTGTCTCTTACGCGCGTCGTGATACCGGTGAGAAAGGCACAATTGCGATCGCAAACCTCTCAACTGAAGTTCCTGCTCTCCTCGAAACCATCCAAAGCTCTCTCTACACAAAGGCCGAAGCAGCATTCAAAGCTCACAGACTTGTCATTAACAACTGGAGCGAAGTTGTCCCTGCCCTTGATTCCAAGAATGTCGTTCTCATTCCATCCTGCTTGGGCGAGAAGTGCGAAGATAAGATTAAGGACTTGACCAAGGGAGGTGCTAGTGAAGAAGTTGGACCTGATGGAAAGAAGGTACCAACAATGGGAATGAAGAGTTTGTGTATTCCATTTGAGCAACCAGAAGGTCTCGTCAAGGGTGAAACCAAATGCTTGAACCCAGAGTGTGGAGTTTTGGCAGAGAAATATTGTATGTACGGAAGAAGTTATTAGATTTTTTGCGTACGAATGGGATTGAGGAGTTTGGAGGCAAAGAAAAGATCGAAGGCGTGGATGGACGGAAGAAATTTGATGGATGAATGATGATCAAGATGAATACCTCAACCTGAGTTCAATGATTAGATAGCGAAAAAGCGCTTATTACAAGTTATTTTCCTGACTAGGTTTAGAGCGTTTAGCTGCTTCTCGATATAGTGCAAAGAAAGAAAGAAACTAAAAAGAATACCCACATGATCTCTTTCTCTCTCTCTCTCTCTCTCTTTCACGGCGCGTTTTGACTTCCCTTACCCAGTCGCATCTCATTTACACAAAATACCTACTCAAAATGTAGAATAGGAGTTTATTGCATTAGTATTTATAACACGAGTTTCTTGATTGATTAATGATAGGAATAATCTTTCCATTATCCTCACTCCTCTATAGAAATCCAAATTCACAAACCACGATTTCTATTTCCCCTCCCCTCCCCTTGACTCTCAACTCTCAAGCGAACGAAACCCCCTAATCATCATCATCATCATCATCATCATCACCACCACCACCACCACCATCACCACAGTAATGTAATATAATATAAACCAAATCCCCCCCTCCCCCTACACACACACACATACTTTCTGCAGGACTCTTCCCAAAAACCGACCACTACCTCTCCCCCATAATATAATTACTACCACCTAGTTACCCGGTTTCACATTATACCTATCATATCATATCATATGCATATCTACTCTAATCCTCTATCTCAACTCCAATCAATCATTCCCATCGTACCATTCTTATCCCTCCATTCTTATCCCTCCATAATTCTCATATCCATTTCCATTTTACCTTCCATAACATTACAATAACAATAAAACTAAACCCAACAATCTCAATCCTCCAACAGATATTCATACTTACACACACGCACACTTAGGCTCCTCTCCTGCATCTACAACAGCAACAAAAAAATCAAGAAACTGACATACATACCTATTATAAGTACCTAAGTGAAGTGAGTGACCTGAATTGAAAAAAAAATTGAATCCATGATTATCTATCCATCTGTCGTATTGTATTGTAATGTAATGTAATGTTTTTTATTACCTATGTATCTTAAGTTTACCCCCCGCTTCCCCTTCCCCTTCCCCTACCCCTTCCACTTCCACTTCCACCCCCAATTTCTCTCCAGTCCTCATTTTCATTCTCATCGTCGTCGTCATCGTCATACTCATACTAATGCACTCGCCCCATCACATAATCACATACAGTTACTCTTTTCAATCGAATCAACCAATCAATCGTCATATATCATGCAATCCATCCATCAATTCATTCATTATCAATGGTTCGTTATCGATGCGTTCACTTTCTTTCGTACCATTATTCATCCACCCACCATACTTAATCCATTGATCCAAACCAATCAACTTCTACTCCCCTCTACTCCCTTAACCCCCTCACTCTTCTCCTTTTGTTCCCGCTCTCCTCCACTAAACACGTGCTAAGTCCATCCTAATAGTTTCCCTAATGTTGGTTCTATATCTGGCATGATTTGGTTTACAGAAAGCCCAGCCCCTTACCAAAAATGTGAGTTGCATAGTGTCTATGGCGACAAGAAAATCAGTGGCTAAGGTACTCGATTCGCTTAAACGAAGTCAGCAGAATAAGAGAAACCGCGGAACTCCTCTTGCATAGCTTGAGACAAAACTGTAGATATTTATTAGTAAAAAGTTTTCCATAAAGATGTAAGATAAACATACCAGACTGCACCGGTGTCAAAACAGGGGTGACACTAGTGAATTCGGAGTCGAAATTGCTAGTATCGGTAGCATTGGTGATAGAAGGTTGGAAGGGTGGTGCAATTCTCTTGTGGTAAACATCATCCCAATTAATGCTTCTGAAGAATGGTTGACTCATAATCTCTTGTGCATCAGTGGGTCCACTTCCCAGTCTTTGTTCAGGCTCACGTGTCAATAATTTTTGTAATATCGATACTGAATCACGGGGCATGTGAATTGGGTATAAAGGTTCATCCGCAAGAATGGCATCGTAGATTTCGTCTTCATCCTCTCCCCTGAAGGGTGATTGTTGAAGAAGCATTTGGTAAATGAGAACACCAAATGCCCACCAATCGACTGCTCGACCGTACTTTTTGTCTAGCAAAATCTGATCCACAGTTAGCGTTGTACGATATTAGCCACGGGAAAAGCTTACCTCTGGGGCCATGAATTCAGGGGTACCACAGAAAGTGCTCGTAGTCGAACCATACCACATCTCTTCCTTACAGAGACCATAATCGGCAATTTTGATATGGCCATCAAGTGTCAGTAGAATATTGTCCAACTTCAGATCACGGTAAATAACACCATTTTCGTGGAAGTATTTCAAAGCCAAGCAGACCTCAGCAGCATAAAATCTATGATTGTCAATGGATAGGTCCGATAGAAGGGATAACAAATGACTTACTGTGCACGCTTAGTACCGAATTGTCCTCGTTGAATGTGCAACATAAGATCACCACCACTGATGTACTCCATAACGAAATATACTCTGGTTTCTGTTTGGAAACAGGCATGGAGAGTCAACAAGAATGGATGACGTTCCTTGTTTGCGATCAAGAACACTCTCTTCTCAGACCTAGTACTTTCGACTTCGTCATTCTCAATGATGAACTCCTTTTTCAAAACTTTAATGGCATAAAGTTGCTTAGTTTGCTTGGTCTCAGCAAGCATGACCTTACCGAAATTACCCTTACCCAGAACCGCAAGAAAGTTGAAATGATCAAGACCAATACGACGTCCAGTGCCTGGTTCGTTTGCTGCAGGAACTTGCTTTCGTTGTTGCCCTTGAGGTACGACTTGTTGTGAAGCAGGTTGTGCAGGTTGTGGAATCTCTGGAGGGGGTCCTTGTGAAGGAGGCGCAAACATTGTTGCAGATGGAGGAGGAGGTGGGAGTGGCGAATGTTGTAATTGGGGCATTGGCTGAGAATAACCACTGTCAACATTTGCGTATGCGGCAGGGTTATAAGCTGGCTGTGTAGGCATTTGCGCCGAGGCATTTGCACCATATGGACTAACCTCAGAGTGCTTATCGGGTGCATTGCCAGTCGCGCCTCGTTGAGTTCCAACTTGGTAGGTATAATCGGTGGAAGCTCGGGAATATTGGTCTTTTGGAGGTATCGGTTGCCTACCCCCCATTGCAGCAGTTGCAGCAGCAGCGGCAGCTGTAGCACTTGATGATGATGTGGATGTTCGATCAGGTCCTGCTGGTCGTTGTTGTGGTGAACTTGGTGTATACATTGCCTGTGCGGCTTGAGTAGCTTCGCTAGAGCTGGGTGCCCCATAAGATTTTGCTCTAGGAGGTCGTTGTGATTCAGGTGATCCATAAGAGTTACGATCAGTCGGTGTTCCTTCCGTTTCTGGCTTTTTCTCTCTCAACGTTTTCTCGCTCATGGGAGCAGGTGTCGTCAGTCGTCGTTTTTGGTTTCTAATACCATCAAGAATGGCATTTGCGACCGCCATGGACATACCACAGAAATCTGGAACAAGATGTACACAGTGTGCATGGCATGTAAGGGAACATTCTACTCTTGTTAGTTAAACGAGACTTCGCTTTCGTGTAAAAGTACTTACCTGTGCACTTGCGACAATTCTTCTTTCCAAATGGCAAAACATATCCACAATGACAACACCAGTTGGCGCTCATATTGTTGAACTTCTCGAAACGATGTGGAATACGATGATTGATCTTTTCCTCGTCCGGATCGGTTTCCGCATTGGATTTGCTGATACATTTCGTAACGACTTGTGAGAAACACTTCGTATGACAAGTATATTTGCAGTCCTCACACTGCATACCGGCAGTATATGTAAGAAAGTCTCCACAGAGCGCACATCGCATGATGTTGTAAAATTGTTGCGAGATGAACTTGTGCCCATACATCTCGTGCACTTCTTCCTTTCTTTGACGAATGGCGCCTTTTCGACCAAGGGCAAGGTCAAATGGTCTTCGATCTTTAGTTTGTTTCGTGAACGAGATATTGAGATTTACGGCGCCGCTAGGTTCAAGGGCAAACCACGCATCGATCGGTTGTGGTGCTACCACTGTATTTCCCGGTCCTCCAAATTCGTTTGCTCCGGCTGGTTGTGCTCCAGTTCCCGCGCTACCTGGCGGTGGTCCAAATTGACTCGTGCCAGTCATTGGAAATTGTGCTGGCGGGGCGCCACCACTAGCCATGCGGTCCGCAGAAACCCACCCGGAGTTGTTGATCTCGGCCTCGATTCTCTTCCTTCTCATTTCTTCGACAATGTCAGATATTCGGACCCACAATAAACCAATAGGTAATGCTTGATCGCCAGCTTTGTCGTAAACCGTGAGTTCAATTTCGTTTGCCTTGTCCACATAAATGTTGTGAATTTCATTCTCCCATTTATCAGTTCGGGTGTTTTTCGTTCGTGCAACAACGTTATCTTCTACCTTCACGGCGATAGAAGTTTCCGGACCTCTTGTAAATCTACTGGTTGTTGCATGATCAACATCCTTAACTGCTTGAATGCGGAGAACAAGTTGACCTGTCAAAGGCTTGCGCATATTAGGGGTATTGATACTATCATCTGTTGAAACCTGTTAGCTCGCGAAGTTAGCCAAAAGACATGTTTGAGATCCTACCATCTGGAGCATCCGCTGAGCTCTCCATATCTATATGTAAATCTTCGTAACCTTTCAAAGCCTGCTTGAGGATCTGAATCTTTTGATTACTTTCAACTCGGCGAGCAGCAGCATCCGCTTTGCTCTTCCTATCGCCCTCCATTTGATATAATTGAACCATCTTCTCGATACCCTTCAAATATTGTTTCTCGACATTAAGCTTAAACTCCAATTGTGAAAGCATGAGTTGAATGCGGGGTCCTAGATAAGGGGTATCATACTTGATGAGATCTGAATTGCAAAGTAAGTATTTGTCCATCAATGATAGGATGTATAAAAGTAACCTACCAAGCTTGGTATAATTAGGACGTGATCTAGGCATGCCAGAACCTGGTGCAGGAGGCGCAAAAGGATTTCTCGGTGGCATCATATCACCGTGACCACCAATCTGACTATATTCCTGATCACCATATCCGGCTTGATCCCCCGTCTCGATGGGATTTCCTCTGGCATCCTTGGGCGGCGGGGTTGGCGGCGGAGCGGCTCTATCATCACGCAGACCGCTACTGGGCGGGCGACCAGCACTACTCCCCGCACTACCCGTTCGACCTTCTGTTCGTAGCTGTAATTCTTTCATGCGCTCCTCTAGGTATGAAATATTTCGACGACCATCGCGCATTTGGATATCTATCCTAGCTCTAACTTGCTCATTCTGAGTCTGCTGCCTCATTTGATTCGCGGCATTGAGGAGAGCACGTTCGCGCTGGATCTTTTTGTAGACGGAGCTAAGAGCCTCCTCATCGTTGCTATTCATGATTACGGCTTGGTCCTCTGCCGTCCTTCAAAAAAAACGACTTTGCGTAGATAGGAAGAATGAGTTCTGGGCGAAGAGTTTCAACGTTTGCCCGATTTTTAATATGGTAAGGTTTGTGATGGTCGAGGTGGAGATGGAGTAGGTGGGGTTTTACTATCCGGGCATGGGCTGGAATTTGTTTGTTGACGCCCGATGTTGCTGTTGGAAAAAGGTAATCTTGGCAAGGCGAAGAAGGGGTGGAAGCAAGTACCGGTATGTAAGAGATAGATAAATACAAAGCTTAGGATCTGAAAGCTCTTCTGTTTTGAATTGGCTTATTGCATGAAAAGACTTGTTTTTTCTTATGTCTCTATCTTTATCTTTATGTTTCTTTTGTGTATCAATTCCGCAAGAGTTCTTTTCGTATGGTGTTTCGAGATATGTATGGTGATTTGATTGGAGAGTTGAATGTATGTATGATGGTGGTGTGGTAGCATGTATTCGATAACACCGGTATTGATATGAAGGAAGGGTTGAAAGTTGTTGATGGAGATGAAGATGGAGATGGAGATGGAGATGGAGATGGTGATGTTTGTTGATATCAATTAACTTTGGTTGGAACTTTAAAGTTTCCCCCAATCACCCCGTTGCCTATGTCTTTGATAGCTGGAGGTACCAGATATCGTCCGACCTTGCTGTGCTTCAGGTAGTATCGGTTTTTGCTCAGCCACCATATGCTAGATTCCAAGGTTGCTTGATGACGGGTCGGAAGGAAGGATGAAGAAAAGTTACTTTATGCCGAAATGATATCGATGCTTGAATACCGATATACCTACGTTTCATCCAGATTCCGTGTCTTTTTCGGAGTTTGTTGATCTCTCACACTTGTCTGGATTTTTTGATTCGTTATGGAGAATCGTTAATAAATTCAATAAAGCACCCGGGCACCCTTCATAAATCTCCGTGGCTCTCAATTTCCAAAGAATGCGGCGTAGATTGTCAAGTCATCATCAGTCACAACAGCAGGTGAACAGATAGAGTTGACTACCGGTATCTGTATGAATATCAATCATATCAAACCACTTCCACCTACCTATCTATCATCAAGGCCAATTGCTATCTACAACTACCCACATACAACTACAACAATAACATAAATCTAAACAACATTGATGCACATCAAATAGTCCGCATAATCTTTACTCATCAATAGCTGATCAATCCTTTCAATGTATACTTACTTGCCCAGATGAATATCATGACAATCCATCCGCAAACAAGAGGGGAAAATGCAACGGGTGATGTCCGTGCCACTACTCCTATCAATTTAGGGAATTTAGGGATTCTAGGGTAATCATCGTCATTCTAGTTCAGGGGTTTAGCTTGGAAGGAACACGACCGACGGTATATACAAACGGGAGATAATTACTAAATGTTACTCAATGTGTGTATCATAGAATCATTTTTTTGCGGAATATACAACAACACAGATATATCAGACTCGGATCAAGACGAGGCGATTCACTAGAGCGAGCTTTCACTCCATACTTCTAAATTGGTATCAATTATCTCTCTATCTTCTATCTATCTCTTACGACTTATATTGTTGCTTCAATAACTTTGCTATCGTTGTCAATTGGATATTGCTTGTTCCCTCGTAAATAGAACCAATCATCGAATCTCTCCACATCTTTTCCGCAATTCCTTCACGAACAAATCCCATTCCTATTATCAAAATTTAGTATGGAGCTAGAACCAGAAACGTGAGTTTTTTAACTTACCACCCATCCATTGAACCGCCAACCCACTCACACGTTGAGCGACCTGCGAAGCAAAAAGCTTGGCCATGGCTGCATCCTGAACAAAGTTCTCACCCGCTTCCTTCTTGCGTGCAGCGTTGTACACTAGAGCGCGAGCGGCGGCGATTTCTGTATAAGATTGTGCGATTTGATGTTGCATACCCTGGAAATCTCCAACTAATTGTCCAAATTGCTTTCGGTCATTCCATACGTATCTGTTCAAATCTGTTAGCCATTGAAAATCCCTCGAAAAATGCATAATCATGCATACTTAGTAGCGTTTTCGAATGCTCCCAAAGCAAGTCCAGTCATTTGTGCGGCGATTCCAATACGGCCTTCATTCAGAAGGGCAATGGCGTATTTGTATCCTTGTCCCTCTTCTCCCAATAGATTTTCTCTAGGAATTTCCACATCATCAAAATTGAGAACACAAGTGCTGCTGGCTTTGATGCCAAGCTTCTTTTCCTTCTTAGCAATAGAGAACCCCTTCATTCCCTTCTCGACAACGAAAGCGGAGATTCCCTTGTAGCCTTTACTATGATCGAGGTTTGCAAAAACAATAAAGAATTCTGCTTCCATAGAATTGGTGATCCACATCTTGCTTCCAGAAATCGTATATCCTGAATCTGTTTTGGTAGCTTTTGTGGCAAGCGCAAAAGCATCGGACCCAGATACTGGTTCGGACAAACAGAATGATCCAACAGTATTCGTAGCCAATTTTGGCAACCACTTGTTCTTCAACTCCTTACTCGCATATTTGATAACCGCAGTGTTGACCAAAGTATTATGCACATCCACCAACACACTCACACTTGGATCGACTCTTGCCAACTCCTCGATTCCCACAATCGCTGCCGTAAAGTTCATTCCTGCACCACCATACTCTTCAGGTATTTCGACTCCCATAAGTCCTTGTTCAAATAACTGTTCCACAACCGCAGGGTCCATGCTCTCGGCCTCATCCATGTCTCGTACTTTTGGCGCGATGATATCGTTCGCAAATTTAGAAACAGATTCCGACATGGCCAGTTCGATTTCAGATAGATGCGTTATAGGAGTTGGAGGAATCTCGGTTATGTCGACAGGATCTGAACGAAGGCGAGAGGTGGCGGAAAGAGGACGGGCACTGCGCTGATGTTAGACTGAAAGGAACGATGGGTAATAAAATGAGAAAACACATACTGTTGATATATTCTACTCTGTCTAGTAAGTCTGATTGCAGGTCTTGCAGCAGATGCTGATGTACCAGCTCTTCTCACCACCGGTGCTAAAGCTTTAACAATTGAGGACATTTTTCTTTCTTCCTTTATTACGTCAAATGAGTATTGAAAGGTAGCAAAATATATTGTGAGAGTTTTCGAGAGAACGGCAAGAGCTTTTATAAGTCAAAAAGCAATGGCTAAGTATTCTAAAGGAGAGGCAATTACGATTCGTGAAACTTAGTCGTTGGTGTTTACGGAGAAAGGAAACAGCTCGGCTTAAGATATCCTCGGTTGTTGGGCCGGTGGCCTTGGCAAGCGATGCATTCCCCAGATTCACAAATTTCGTATCACCGAAAGCATCACTCATCAATTTGGTGGTGTGAACACAATTGATAAATTCATGACTCGTCTCGATAATCATCGGGGTTTGTAAAACTCTAGCAATCGAAAACATACCTCCGCACGCGCCGTTCACATTAATTTTCGGGGTTTTCAGTGCCTTCACGACCAAAGCTATGACCTTTAACCAATTAACACATGCAAAATGCGGGGTGACTAGGTAACTTCAACCACCCCACTGCACCCTTTCAGCCGTCGACGACCCGACTACTATCCGATCTGTATCCGACCCGTATTCGTTTCAATATAGTTCATTCCACTGTTCAGACAAGAATCTTAAGAATAATCAGCCACCGATATTCGAATAAAGTTAATGCATTAAAGTCTTGTATAGTGTATAGGAAATGAAGTTGTATTCCTCCCTGTTGTAAGCTATGATAACTAACCGAATGTTACTGCAACTTTTCGCGGTCCTTCTGATGTTTCAATATCAAATAACAATTTCCATCAATAAATTTCAAAAATCTCAATGCAAATAAGAAAGCAAATCTTTCATATTGACGCCATGGTCCCCTCCACATATGCCTGCCAGCCATGTCCCAACGTCTTGGTATCAATTAAAACGCCATGGCACTTCCGCTCAGTACCAAAAATCCATATAGATATGTAATCAAATTCAAAGCCCATTTCATTTTCGAATTCCAAATTTTGTCGTGCAGTCGATCATCATGTCATCATTCCGTATGCTCAATCGTCTTTCTTCTCCGCATTTGGTAATAAGAACCAGCAAAGCATCATGACAGCAAAGAGACCTAAAGCAATAGGATGCAAGACGAAATTGCCAAAGGACTCAGCCAAAACTCCGGTGGTGAAAGGAGCAATGGCACCACCAGAACTACCAAGAGCACTGATGACACTCATTCCACTGACTTGGTATTTGCGAGGGATGATGCGAGTGAAAACGTAGGCAGCACATGGGTAGACGGGCCCAAGAAGGAGACCGACGATGGAAACCGCAACAGCGTCTCCAATGACGTTCGGAACACCCCAAACGATTCCTTCGAAAGCAGCTGATAAGACCACAACGATAATCACAAACATCTTTTCACCAATATTGTGCCCGACAGGAGATAGTAAGAAACGACCGAGTGTGATACCACCCCAGAAACCAGAAGTAACATATCCAGCATTGTTATTAGCACCTCTGGTTTGTTGCAAGAAGTAGACAACCCAGCCGGAGATAGAAACTTCCGCACCTTGATAGGAGAAAATGAAAATGGCACCGATCAAGACAGCTGGTAATTTAGCAGCTTTCAACATTTCCATCAAGTCCTTCTTTGCACTGGACTTTGGTCTGCTTCCTGATTGAGTCAAGTTGAGCAGTGCCGTTTCATTTGGATCCTCGTAGTCCCAGAAAGCCCATCCGGCAAATACTAAATTTACGAGCATTATTCCAAGCGGAATAAAATAGTAACGACTCCATGAAATGCCAGACGAAACGAGTGTGGTGGCTACCAATGGAGCAATGATACCCCCAACTCCGTAGGAACCATGCATGAAGCCCAACATTTTAGTACCATTATCGAGGTTAGCTGCGAAAACGTTTGACAACGACAAGTTAATTGCCATGCCAAATCCGATGAATAAGAATGCCAGGACAACCACTGGGAATGGAGGATTGGGAACGATCATCACATAGCCAATAACCATGAGGCCTTCAGCAAACATTATAGATTTGGCTCTTCCAAATCGAGATTTGATAGCATCTATGAAAAAGGCTGCCGAAATATAGCCTATTGCCTGCGTGATGAATATGAGAGATACGAGTCTTTCTTGAATGTTATATGCTCTAACGTTTAATCAGTAATAGTTATTGTTTCTTGGGAATGAGTTAACGTACATGATCATCCTTGGAATCAAGGGTCCAGCTGCAGCATCACTCAAACCGTTGCCAAAGTTCAGCAAACAGGTCGCAATCATTCTGTATCTATTCTTGGGAGGGTTAGAGAAGCTTTGAACGATGTATTCCGGCTCGTCATTTGGAGTTTGTGGTCGACTCTCTTCCAGCGCGCTTGGGGATGTTGAACCCTGCCAACCTGGAGTTGTCCATCCCGATCCAGGTTCTACTCCAGGTGTGGTGGTTCCAGATGCAGATGGTCGACTGACATTGGATCCCCATTGTAAATTATCGAGTTCAATGGCATGAGGTTGTTGGGCTGAGTGATATGTTCTGGTGACTGATTTCTGAGGGGCGGCGATGGGTTCATTGTTCGCTGCCGTACCAGCAGCAACAAGTTCATTGTTTGTCGATACGACGTCGAAGATTGAAGAGAAATGAGCAGCCATTATGACTGTGATAGAATTATATATGCCAAATAAGGTATTCAGATTACATGAAAGTGATTTGGAGTAGGTGAACGTGTATATATATTGATGGTTGAGGTGATAGATGATAGGGAAAACAAGAAGGAAAAGGGAGAGCTCAGTGATATATGCAAACAGTTTCTATTTGAACGATGAGGAAGTTAATATTTGGAGGTCATACGAAGTCCTTACTAATGACGAATAGTATCTGGTAGTCCCTATAGACTAAAAGTGATAATCACCATCCTAAGTATGAAATTTGCGGTTTGAAGTAGACTAAAATCACTAGATCAGGACCGGTGGGAAGGCTAAAGGCTTAACAATAAGGGTTTGGGGAGCTGGGGAGAATACCAGCTCCATACCAGTGCATACCAAGTAGGAACTCCGCCAAATGTGGAGAAACTCAACAGGTTTTTGAAAAATTGGATCCATGATAAGAGAATGACTGTCGTAATTGGATCTCGATATATTCTGGAATGCATCTGGATATATGGGAATACTTCGGACAATGCACTTTATACATACATGTAAGCATCTTAAAAGCATTTTGAAAAAGTTTCAACGTATAGGGCTTCGAAAATATATTAAGCGGAGTTGCCCAATACGACCTTGAGTCATAAATTAATGTCTTCTAGATCTTTTCTATATCAGGGCGTCAGGGTCTTCGGCTAAATTTCCCATGGACAATACGGTCACGGATAATAATAATTCCGAACCCCGCCAAAGAAAAATTATTCCCAAGTACGAGTACCTTTTAAAAAAGTTGATAGACATAGCAAATCAGCTTGTTAATTTCATCATCCTTGGATTTTCCACAAAATTCTATCGTGAGGCCTAGACCTACTCTTTTTTTGAACTTCAATTTTCAATCAATTCAAATCTCACCACATTTTATTTTATAATGGGTAAACCAAAGCGGAACGTCTTTGCGGCCGCCGAAGAAACTTCTACCCCGCCAGATACATTGACACCAACACAATCGATTGCTCGTGTTATCAAAGCTGAAGGAAACAGCTTATACTCTTGCACTCTCACTGACAATTCAATCATTCTTGTCGAATTGCCTTCTCGATTCCGTAATACAATTTGGATCAAACGTGGTGGTTATGTCTTGATTGACACGAAAGATGCAAATGTGAGAGAGAATAAGATTGGTGGTGAAATTATAAATGTTGTCCGGGATGAACACATTTGGCGAAAGGAAGCTTACTGGTAGGTCTTCATATCGTGCACTAGTTGGCTCGATTTCCTGACACCCCATCTCAATAGGCCCAAGGAATTTCCAAAAAGCTCCGCATATATGGAGGATTCGGATGACGAGGAATCGACCGTAGGCAAAATGCCACCATCAGACTCGGACGAAGAGTGATATGGCCAAGATCCGATATGTTACAAGATATCAAATGTTCTGGGGCGAGAAGGAATTTTGCTCACGCCTGATTAAGCAGCTTTCTTTTCGACGGCCCCTTGGCCTTTGGGCGCAACAAAATCAAGCCTGGTTCCCCACCATACACCCGCCACGGTGATAAACATAATTCCAACTACCACCAACGAGCTTATATCAGTACTTGGGTATACATTCCATGCCCATTCCTGCGCCCCCCATAAAGCATATTGAAGGATTGGGTGCATGCCACTACGCCAAAGTAAGAAAGGGGTAGCCCATGCAAGATAGGCAAAGAATTGGTAATGCAAAGATCGAGCGAAGAGCATACCAATTGTGGTAGCAGTCAGGATGGTTGTCATAATATAGTTTGGTGATATCGTATGGGAGCAGGCGTGCAGTCTTTGTCCCAGTGGTTCCTCAAATCTCAGCGCACTTCGAATTAAATCCATGATTGGCCTCTCCGCTGGCTTGAGCCATCTAGTCATTGCGAACAAAGCTAGAGTACTGATATGTCCTACCAATAGAGTTATAGAAAATTCCTTACTCAGGAACTTTTGTTCTCCCAAAAATCTCCAATTGACTGTCCATCTGAAAAAGAATACCCTTGAAAACTCAAAAGCTCTACTCAAATAACCAATTGCATTTGTCGGGAGGAAGGAAAGTGCAATTACAACTTGCAGTTGTGCCATAAGCCATGCTTGTTTAAGAGCTCCTTGTACCCCCTTTGTCAAGAATAACATCATTCCAATAGAGGGCAATGCTAGTAACAATGACATCTTAATTCCCAGACCCCAACTATATGCCATGCTCCCAATTGTCCATAATCTGCGCTGGAAGAAGTAGATCGCAACCCATAAGAAGAAAACCGCGAAGCCATCATTGAATAGTCGAAGAACAAATATGCTATGTAATCGTTTTGAAAGGACGAGCATTGGAAATATATAATGCGGTGCCTAGATTCCAAATTGAATATTAGTCCATACTCTCTGACTCCTTTGCTCCAATTCATATTCAATTAAGATAACCTACCTTAGCCCTCTTATAACAAGCCAAAACAACCCCCAAAGTCCCCAAATACAGAACTCCAAATATGCGCTGCGCAACCAGTATATCACGTCCATGATCAGTTATCCACCATAATGCATAGTATATCCATACATGTGCGGCTGGATATACCAATGGGCCGGTTCCACCTTTGATTTGAGTGTAATCGCGCTCGCCGGAGTCGTATTGGCTGATCTGTTCCATGTAGGCTTTCCAGTCTATTTCTGTGTCTGTGGGGAGTTAGCGATGGCATGATGGAAGAGGGGGGTTGGGGGCACTACGGAGAAAGAAGAAGAGAAAGAGGGAACATACAGGGTATGAAATAGATTATAGCACTGCATAGGAAAGCTTCAAAGAGCAGGATGAGCGGGGGAACATAGCGTGAGAGCCAGTGTTCGCCCATTGCTAATTGTTTGAGCTGAAGGTAGACATTCGCGGTTAGGGAGATGGTAGCATTATCCTCCTTTCTCGAAGCTGGAGGGGCGGAAGCCATCGTTGCAAAAGTATAGATGTGCACCGCGAAAAAGTTGGATTGAAGATTCACTAATGGATCAAAAGAAATGGTAAATACAAGAAGAGAAAAGGGTCGGAATTAGAAGATTGGATGAGAGGATACGAAGAGTGTGAGAAATTCGCGCGCAGTGTTACGTAGCTCTAGAAAATTAAGCTTTTAGTAGTGCTGCATGGATGCTGGGAATGTTTACAGGGGTATTTGTAGAACTAGCTTACTAGAAATGAATGAGGAGTTCCAAGGTTCTTCTTCATATCTCCAAAGGTAATATTCGCGGATTCACTCATTACAGACCGATGTGCATACCTAGTATACCTAGGTAGGTACATATCAATATTCATCATATCTGATATCAAGTGATCAGATGACTAGGTATTTTTCATTATCAGAAACGGACAAGTGATAGTTCCGATGTCTTTGATTTATCAATCTACATCCCGTTTGACTATTTAACAATCCCTCTGTTCAGATTGCACAACATACACACAGCCGTCGAAGTTTGGACTTTTTAGACTGGTTTCATATATTCCCTCGTCTTGACAATTTCTTGGAGTTTTTATCTTTCTTCCGCTTTGGTGTATCTTTCTTTCTTGAGTGATCCAGCGTCCGCGTTTGCGATTATACATGAGAAGTGATGCCAGTACTGTGAAGGTGCGAGGTCATCAACACTTTTGATCTGATATGAAGTTCTAGATGGAGACCAGACTGCAGCACATTTTCCAGAGCTCGACGTTATGTTTCAGGGCTATACAACGAAAGTAGCCTACAGTCAGAGGTTGCTTCTAGTCAATGTTATATCGGGTGATATTGTGCTCCTTTCTAGTCATGAATAATGACGGTGAAGGCCAAACTGGAAAGATGGTTGGTGCAATAATGCGGATCTTGGTGCTATCGCCCTTTTTCGGACATGAGCGATCGAAATTGAGAAAAGCGCATAGGGATCTGAACGACGAAGCTGCCATTGGGTCCTCATTCAACTACAGTCGTATATACTTCAGTCTCTACCCAGTATCAGCCCAATTCAGGTTGGAAAGCCAACCTACATTCATTCTTCTGCAAGCAAAAACGAATCACTTCATCGTGCTTCATAAATTCTACCTATGAGTTCCTTCCAGGCGGGATGAGGAGGTTCGTGTGACAGCTTATCGATACCTCTTCTTAAAATGTTTATATTCGTCTTACAGCATCAGGTCATAGTGGTTTGGCAGTACCGTATTTACCATCACTAGATATAATTCATATATTCTGGCTTCATCGTCTGTTTGCTTGCCATCTAGCACCTCGATTGCTAATTCACGATCATACATTCAGCCCCCTCCGTCCCTTCTCTTGCGATTTGACTTTCATGGCGGCCAAAGTGCAACTTCGAGTTCAGAATCATATTGTCTTTTTGTTACGATTTATGATCTTCTAAAAACTTCAGACCTTACTCTTGTATCTTTCTCAACTGATCACCCCTATTTTCAAATTCATTTACACATACATTCGGCCAAATCTCTTAGCGTTTTCGTCTTATATGACACCTTTATATTTCCCAATAGTTTGATTCATTGACACACATCCAATAATCAGAGTAAACAGATATCAGAACAAAACCCCCAAAAATTGTTGATCAACTGTAGACAATGGAATGGTGGTAATCAACATTGTCTTCACTCATATCCCCGCGTAAGTTCTGAAGGAAATGGGCAAATCCAGCTGGCTTAAATTATCAGTCTTCTTCTTCCTCACCCCAACCTTCTACACTATTTTCTCACAGAAGTCTATAAGACTTATGATAACAGGGAAATATCATGAAATTCACTTCTGTCTCTTATTCGTCCTTCCCATAATGGGCTCAGTGAAAAGAAACAGCCTAGTATAGCTTAGTCTACTTCTTCTTCACCTCATACTTCACTTCTATACTTGCGTCTTTCAGAAGCGGAAACCCTTACAAAAATCATTCTTCAGGTTCAAAAATTCACTTCAACCTCCTCTTCCCTTTCCATGTGGCTTGAAAATATTGAAACAGTTTCAATATCTAAGCTTACCTAGTCTCCTTCCTCTTCTCAAGCTTTTACAATTCCTGCTCCCTTACAAAACCATCACCACCACCCGACCCTCCACGTTTTTTTCTCCTCTCAACTTCGCCCACAACCAATAATTTACTCGTACAATATATCTACAACAACTTCATTTCTCTCGTGAGAAGGCTATCTTCTACTTACATTTTTGCAAAGTAACTTTGCGACAATTTATTTACATTTTGGATCTCGAAAGTGAGAAGGGCGGTTCTTTGCGGCTTCGTGATGGCAGTATAGGATGCGTGAGACAGCATCGCTTATCCATACCTCCACACAGTGAGCACTTTTCACTTGGATACCTATTGTCCATCTTACCTTCATGTTCCTCTTTGCCAAAGCCAGAGCTTGCAAGCTCTTTTGATCATGTTTTTCTGATTGTTCGCCCAAGTTTCTGAAAGTCTGCTTTTGGCCCTTGGCATGAGATCTCACCTTTGCTGCAACACACCATTCAATCCCTCTTCAATTCTAAATAGATGCTGATATTCTTTCCAAAGGCACAAATCATCATTCTATAACCACTCAACTCGAGTGAAACTACTGACTGAAGACGTACGACATTCATTCCTCAACTACCTTAATCCATCCAATCCGGCATCTTATCTCGCAACAGACCAGTTCTTCCCCTGAAGATTTGTATTCCTTACTTCAGTCTCCAGATTTTTGAAATCAACTCCTACTTTGGTATTCATCAGCAAACCACGCTGGTATTACGTATCCCGCTTTCATTCTAAAGTTTGATTTTTCAATCCCAGATTCACTCGATTCGCTTTCTGCTTTTGCAATTTGCAACATCAACAACCTGCCTCTTCCTTCTCAAAGCCTGACTATCTCGTAGAATACTCTTAAGGGCAAGTAGAACAACTATTTCAAAAAGCATTATATCGATGCTATGTCTTCCAGCGAGGAGGAAATATTTGAGAACTACCCAGGCGGAGGGTATGTTGATGAACTTGTTGAAGCCGACAGAGGTCAAGATTTTGATAATGAGAATCCCTTGACACCCTTTCAAGTTCAGCGACCTACAAACTATGTTACACCGCCCCGACCTCAACGCCGGATGCCTATCCAACTTTCCACAATTCACACGGGTGCTTTAGAAGTTCGTCAAGAGGCCTCACAAGGACCTGCACTTCGCGTTCCATCAACTCCCGAAGTTCCTCAACAGTCTTCAAGCCCAGAGATTAGCGGCAGCCCAGATCAAGGAAACATTCTTTCAAGCCCAGAGGTTAGCGGCAGCCCAAATGAAGAAATTGTCTCTTCAACTCCTCAAGAGCAAAGAAGCCCCTCAGCCGTTCTGCAAAGTCCTTCCATGTCAAATAATAGCGTGCAAGACGTTCCGAGTCCAACAGTTGATTCTGATATCGAAGATAGCTCACCAACAAGTACCCAAGATGCAGATAGAACAGGTGCTGACCTAATGCCAAGTATCGAGTCACCAGACGTCGAAGATGAGGAAGATTCCCAGGCTACTCTTGACCATGGCAGAAGTCAAGTGGTTACAAACGATTTGTACGATGTGAACCTTCAAAGATCTATTCGCGCACCCCTACCAAAGTCCAGCAAGAATCGCAAATCTATATTTGGTACGCCACATAATTCCAACAGTCGATCTACCGGAACTTCCAGTCATATTCAGACCCCAAAAGAACCACGTCAACAAAGACAAGCAGAAGTAGTTGTAATTGAATCCGGCTCCGACGACGATTGCGTTTTTATAATGAGTAGACCAGCACGCCCCGGAAAGCCAAAGATAAGCAATCCGCCTCCTGTTATAAAGAATGAGCCAGTCTCTGATTCGACCACGAATGTAAGCACACCAAAGATAGCAAGTGTCAGCCCTGACAAGAGTGTACCGCCTGATGATTTTTATAGAGAATCAAGCCCCACCGAAGAAGAAATGATCGCAGCTCAAGCATCAATTCTTGGTCAAACTATACGTCGAACTCAATCTGAGGAGGAAGACTCTCCCGGACCCGTGAGAGATGGTAGGAAGAGACGCAGAGAGAGTATGTCGTATCCCGAGGATCAAGCAGATGTTGATAATGCTATGCAAGTCGATGAAGATGATAGTGATTGGATGCATGATCAAGAAGATGGAGGCGACGATTCACAAGAGGAATATGAGAACCTTGTGAAGTTACGAAATGCTTTGAGCAAGGAACTAGATAAAGGAACTCTCGGTTTTGCTGAAAGAGCTGAACTCATTAGGGTCAATCACACTCTTGCAAAGTTGGATCGCCTGAAGACTGCCAACGCTAGAAGTGCTGAGGATGAGGACGAAGATGAAGACGAAGAATCGCTGTTCGTTCCCGAAGAAAGGCATCGGAGATTTCAAGATGTTGCTGATAATGGCGAAGGTCCATCTTCAAGACCTGGAGACAGATTTGAAGATATTTATGATGATGATGCAGGTCTTGCTAGTATGCTTCAGGAAGAGTTTGACGATGACCTTTCCAAAAAGAAAAAGCCCAAGAGAAAACGGCAAGCCCCAGCCAAGAATGCTCGAGAATTTCAGGCCAGGGAACAAGCCAAAATTCTTGAGAAAGAAAAAGCAAAGTCGCAAAAGCAAAAGGCCGGTGGAAGTGGTGGTAAGGGCGGGAAGACCAAAGCCGGACGAAAAGGCAAAGGCAGGGGCAAAGAAAAGGAGAAGAGATCCAAGAAGGGAGCTGTTAAGGTTGATAGAAATATGAAAGAGGCTCGGTTCATGGGACAACGCGGAGGACAAGATGATGTTGGACAATTGATTTTGGATGATCTCATGAATAGCGATGCGATCGGAGATCGTCTCCAAGATCCTATCTTCAATTGCGCTCCCGAACCAGAACTTGGCGGAACTCGAAATAAAGCCACCCAGCTTCAACAATTGTTCGCCAATATTCCTGAAGGTAGTAGTAAGACCAAGGGAAAATCTGACAAAGC